AAATCATCACCCTCTATAGCAGCTGGAAAAAGTATCATTTACGTTGTTGCGTTTACAAATACAAGTAGAAAACCCGAAAACTTGGGCATTATTTTAGAATTTTGAAAATAATTTGGTGAAAAATGAGCTATAAATTCACTGGAAGGGCTCTACAGAAGAGTGGTTGGGCAGTCCGTCTTAAATAAAATAAGGGGCTCTAAATAAATAAAGGGAACCGAGATGTAAGCATTCCTAAATTTCAGACAACTTTCCAGTAAATTTTAGGCACTAATCTGGTACTCAAAAGCAATTTCACCACAAGAACTTCCTTCAATAGCGAGTGGGAATAAGTTTCGGTCGTCAATAAGTAAACAGTGCAAATACTACCAAATAAAATAGAATACATACATCTTTAAAATATATCTATGGTTTTTGCATCAATTCATGCATTCAATCAATCAAATCATTCTTCTTATGTCGGGAGGCAAAACCTGTTCAACAAAATCAATAAACATAAATTTAACTTTTTTAAGTTGCTAATTAAATGCTATAAAAATTAAAATTAAACATTTGTCCTACAGCTCTATCTTCTCGTGGTACTTATATCTAAAAGCAAAAGTGTTTAATTGAAGCAGCTATGATTAGAAAAAATATACATCAAAAATTAAACAAATTTTTTAAAGTAAAATTTTTTTTGGGATAGCGCCATTTTGGATCCGCCATTTTCAATTTAAAAAATCTGACATCAAATTTGAAGCCATCGAACTCGAAAACCCCCCTTATGTATACGTTTTTGGTGAAAAAGAAAAAATTATAAAATTCACTTTTATTTTCGAAAATCTGACATCAAATTCGAAATCAGCAAACTCAAAAACCGCCAAAGGCCAAGTTTCGAATCAAATTCGTTACTTCTAGACTTTTGGCCAGCAAATGATAGTCGCCAGACCATAGTGCACCGTATTCATAGATTTAATGAACGTTCTGAACAATTTGCTATACATTTGCATGGGTATTTCTCTTCTTCTTCTGATACTTACAAAGATTGGACCAAAGTTATAATAAATTTCATGTTCAAGAAAGGTATAACAACGCATGCTGAAAACAGCACTCAGACTGTAAGTATGCCGTCCATTGTCACAGTCAGGTATTCAATAATTTGTTTAGCTACCAAACAACTAATTTAAAACGCAGTAATAGGTTAGGCTAAAATTTTCTGATGTTCATTAAAGATATAAAGTCTTCGGCATAGTCCTTTCTTGTTAGTTATTGAAATTCGTTAACTTTGACGTTGTAAATAATTAAAAAAATAACTTCCTAAATGCGCTTATCATCAACAGGTTTTTGTCTCTAAAAGTGCCATAATAAGTAGATACATATGTATGTGCATACATAATGATATGTAGTTGGTGAAAATTCTTTTTTTCATCAAACAGGTACACAATTAAAAACCTTATCACTTTAAAATGACATTTAAAAATCTAGTAAGGCAACACATGATACAACAGCTTACAGCTCGAAGTACATAAGTGTACATATTTTACATGCAAATGTTGTTACACATACAGTGACTCAAACAAGTGATCGCGTGTTGATTTTTTTTTTAATATCACTAGTGTTTTTCGAGATAAATTTGTTTTGTTATTTCTGTATAAAAATATGGTCCAAGCTTGAAGAGGAAGTTTCAATCGGCTAAAAAATCACGCCGATTTTTAAGATTTCAGTTTTTTTTGTGACGGATTTTTACACTTTTTCACCTTTTTGCATGAATTTCTTATGAAATAAAATGCAGGAGGTGGTTTGCAACAGAATTCCAAAAAATCAATGCCAGTTTTTTGTAAATTGTACCTGTATGTAAAAATTACCGCAAAAGCAGTCTCCAAAAAAAAAAACAAATCCCAAAAATCCACGCAATTTTTTAACCTGTTGGAGCTTGCTCTTTGTTTGACTAAAATTGTATATAAAACCGCATACCCAAAAATTTTCTAAAGACTCAGATTAAAAAGTTAAAATTTTTCATTCAGATTCAGATTTGTTGAATTTTCCTAAATTTTATATTAAGTTTGAAACTGTGGTTTAAATTTATAGTTTTGGTTAAAGTCTGAACGGTATTTTTATAGAAAAATAACACAAAGTTGATCTCGAAATACATTAGATATGAGCATTTAAAAAAAAATCAACACGTGGTCACTTGATTGAGTCACCGTACATTAGAGTGGTCAAATTTTTGTATGGGGGAAAAAAATTGCATCCTAGAAAACGGGTCACCCCCTTATACGGTGTTCGCATGAGGCGATTTTACAGGCAACATTTAGTTGAAAGCAACAATCGCCTGGTGTGAACGGCCTTTCAACTAATCGCTTCGAATGAAGTTGGGGTGCAGCCAACTTTTGATTCAACAAATCGCCTCTTAAATTGCCTAGAAAGTCACCTCATGCGAACACTGTAAATATTAGTTCAGTCCTGATTTTTTAGACCATTTAGATTTAAAATGTTCTTAGGTGGCTTAACCAATTCTTTGATTAATATATGTACACAAGATTCCTAGAGTAAAATATGAGCATCCTTTAAATTCATACTTAGAAACGTAAACTATGATAGTAGCACCTCTTTCGGCAAGAGGACAAATTTTTGAAGCGGCCCCAAACCCTATCTGGGAAAATTTTTTGTTAGATCGCTCTACTGTTCATACATATGTACATAGTACATACATAAGTGTACACGAGCATGAAAGTTTACGAAACCCTGAAGTGGCATTATTTTTATCAGCGGCATAACTAAATCATTACTACTAAGTCACTTTACTTGTCTGTCAATCAGCTTGTCTGTTGGAAGCGGCTAAGTAAGAAATTTGTATGTAGGAAAACATGCATAGTACAAGTAAGTATGTAAATAAATTGCAATATTTTTGAATACATACATATGTATTTATAATTTATGTCTGTGCATATGTAAGTAGATATGTATAAATAAACGATATTTAGAGTGTACAAAATACTTTGTCCGCCTGTTGTCGCGTTGACCGGTGGCACTGACATTTATTGGATAATTGATAAGACGTTGCGACGAGCCTGAATAGCTAAACAGGTACGTATGTATTTTATCATGTATGCATATACATACATATGTACTTATGTAGACATGTTATTAGTATATAAATATGTTGTATGTTGAGCGATTACAGACAGCACATAAAAAGCAGATTTTTGCTTGGGTGCGCATACATTCATGCGTACATATATGCATTTAAAGATGTAGATACATATGTATGTGTGTATGTATATATCTAAATAGTATATGGGTATTGATAAAAATAGCACAAGCCAAATAACTAGAAGCATATATGTATGTATGTATATATGTATGTAATTGCAATAATTCATTTAATTTGTTATGAAAGCAGCGGAAAACACTTATATTATATTTTATAATTGCATTATTTTTTCAAAGTTAATACAGACACATATATGTACACACATATGTATGTATACGAAACTTTCCTTTATTTTCTCACTTTTCATTTTTAATTTAGATTCCTATTTAGCCACAGCAAGTATCTTTATAAAAATAAGTATATTCATACATATATTATGCTTTTCTTTTTGGCCACTACTGCCGCTTTACTTAGATTTATGGCAATGTTAAAAATGCTCGATGGCCATCGATTTCTTTTGCAGCAATTAAATAAATATGAATGGCAACAAAACTGAACTGAAAACCATAACAACACAAAAGTCAAACAATCGCTTAGCACACGAGCTCTGTATATACATATATACAGACATATTTTTATAGATAGGTGTGTGTGGCGCGTTGGCGTCACACTATTGCCATCGTCTGTTGACAGTGGCAGTGACAGTGGCAGTGGTCGAGCGCTATGAGGCAAGTGCTCGCCGCCTCCGCCGCCACCAACACCACCCATTCATTGTGGCACATAGCGCGCCCAATGTAAACACAACCAAAATTGTATGCGATAAATAAATAAAAACAAGAATAGCATAGGCACTTATAAAAAGATACCAAATTAAAATAAAACGATTCAACTAAAAGCGACTTGTTTGCCATTTTTTCCTTTGTTTCGTTTTATTTTGTACTTTCGTACCGCCCAACAATCACGCTGCTTTCACTTGTGGTGCTATGTAGACTCAGCCAGCTGTATTGTTGTGCTGCTCGTCGCTTCTTTGCCTTTTGGCTGTCACCAACTATACATATCTACATAAAATTCTTGCAAAGCAAAAGTTTATTTTTGGTCGGTTTCACTAGCTCGTTTGCGGGTTTATTCAAACCATTAAATAGTTTATTGTTACAACTTTTTTGTTGTGCCGTTCATTGATTTTCTTATTTATTCATTTTCTTTCGATAGAATACTTTAATTTGTGTTTGATTCTTAATATTGTTAAGAGTCAGTGCAGTGTAGATATTTTCACCAATTCAACACGCAACAAACTTTCTCAAAACAGTCCAACAGAATGGCAAAATTTTTGGGTCAACAGACATTTAAAGCAAAAAAAACATAGGACAATCACAATCGCAAGCAATCGAAGTCAAGAATAAAAAACCATAGAAAAAATATTAATAGCTGCAAAAAATAAGTGGGTTGTTGATGCAGCTGTGTAGCCAGCTGAGCTTCTAATGATGTTTTTTTATTTTATTTTCCTATATTAATACTTTTGATGTTATTGCTGTGTGTTACCACTTTGCCTGGCCCCACAGCCTTTGCGATGGCTTCCTACCAACAAATATAACACAACGAAAATGCGATTTCGGTCTATTAGTTATTAGCTAACGCCACTCCACTTTTTTCCGCATGCACACAGCCTCCCCCGCTTTTGCTTTTTTTGCTAATTTATTTTCTTTACCAAAATTTATCGGCAGAAACGCTTTTTGTCTACTAAGTATTCAGCCAATTTTCATATTTTTCACTTTTTTCAAGCACACCAAAAATCACAAAATATTTTTTTTTGTATAAGTATTCAATGAGTATATTCGAAGCACAACTAAAATAAAAAAAAAAAAACATTTACCACTCAGGCAAAATTGAGAGAGAAATCGCGCGCGCATCCATCCACTTGTAATACACCGTCGTCGGTTCGAGAGTTAGTACTTGATTGTGCTTATAAACACACTCGTGCTCGTTTTGTAGCCAACGAAAATACGTTAAGTAGTTAGTAGTATTAACGCGCACTCCACAACCAAATGCCACCAAGTTCCGATATCAACTGTTTGGCCTATGAATTTGCGCTTGGTCAAAAAGCGCCGCAATGTGCCTTCTACTAAATACGAAACGTTGATTGTCTTCTATGTATGAGTGTATGCATGTATGTATGGGCTTAAAAGAGCGACACATGTATGCCAATTCATACCCAGGCAGTTTTGGTGAGCCCATCGAACATACATATCTATTCATATACGTACGTATGTATATCCCACTAACCTGACTGCGGAAAATACCGGGCCAGTCCCAGAGCTGACTATTTTACTCTCCTTGTATGTATACGCTCTGTACTTTGTCTTATCACGATATCGGTATAGACAGCCTCATATTATACATATAAAGATTACACTGTAAATAATAACAAGGTACAAATTTATATATACCTTACCTAATTGCCTGGTAAAGGTTTTCAAACAAGTTTCAAATGGTGAAAAATCTTGTTATATTTCATGTAATTTCAGCACTTAAAGTTTTTACTATTTATGAGAAATATCTCTAAATCAACAATTTCTCAAATACCTTCAAAAGGTGGCAACGCGCCTTACCCGACATGAAAACTTTCCTAAACCTGTTTAGTCTTATGAGACTAGACAAGTGGAAACATTTTAACATTTATGAATTTTAATGATGTGGTGAATTTTCGGTAGCCAATACCCCGTACCCTATACCTTAAAAAAAATGTTGGTGCCCTATGATATTGGCGTATGCTGTATGCTTTCATTGATCCAACACAATAGATAATTTCAGAAGTTAGAATGCTCTCCAAAAAGCCTTCCTGAATGTCACGAGGCTTCTCTCTTGACTTTTTCCCTTTTTTATGTTGTGTCACAAATTGAAGGGCTTCTGTTTCGCTACCCATAGACGGACTTCAAGGGGGCTTTTGTATAACGCACTTCAGAAGGCCTTCTAAAACTGTTTCTTTAACTCATATAACGTTTGCTTCATTTTTAATCCCTAATAATATAAAAATGCAAAACATCGAAACAAAAAAGCGTCAGTAGGAGAGAGGAAACAGCGAATAAGATTGAGTATAAGATTAAAACTCGAGATTAAGATTACAAATAATATTATGATTTAGATTTAGATTAAGATTAAGATTACCACTAGGATCAAAATTAATATTATGATTAAGACTAAGAAGAAGATTAAGATTAATATTAAAATTGAGATTGAATTTAATATTAAGATTGAGATGAAAATTTGAGATTAAGATTAAAATTAAGGTCTAGCTTTAGGTTTACATTAAGATTAAGATTAAAATTGGGATTGAGATTAAATTTACCTTTAAGATTAAGAATAAAAGTAAGACTAAGATGAAGGTTAAGATTACGATTAATACTGAGGTCAAGATTAAGATTAAGATTGAGATTGAGATTAAGATTAAGATGAAAATTGAGATTAAGATTGATTCAGATTCAAATCAAGATTAATATAAAGAGATTAACATTGAGATTGAGATTGAGATTGAGCATATAATTAAGATTAAGATAATTGTTTATTGTTATGCAGAAAAGTACTCATACAACATGTAGTGCTATACGGGTAATAGTAAGAAGAAGTTCTACTTCATTCGGACTTGGGAGCCACACACAACCTTTTGTTTTTTAAAAAAGGATTTCACCAAATTTTTATTGATATAATGTTTAGCTGGTTTTGAATTCTATAGGGCTTTTAATGAGTAATACTTTGACTCGGGTACAAAACTGACTCATATATCCATTTTTGATTTGAGGGATCTTTTTTTTAATTCAAAGTCCATTTTTGTCATTATTTGTATAAAATTTGACCAAATTCGTTTATCAAATCAAATTTGCATTAAACTTTAATAAAAAGTCAATTAAGGCCAAATAATTTTCACTATAATTACTTTTTTGAGTGCATGAGCACATACATATACATACATACCAACTAAGCAGAACAATTGCTCGCATAAGCATTTCACATATCACTCTCAATATCATTGTCTACATGCTTATGTATGCGTGCGGTCGCTACACTCTTTCACTAACTTTCGGAATTTTCATTTAGTATTTAACTTAATCGGCAAAGCTCGCCTCTTTTACTAAAATTTACTCTCGTGCACATATACATACATAGATACTAAGCGAAAATCTTCGGTATATGTGTATTTTTGAGAAAAAATTTCAAAACAAATGAGCTTTTTTCTCCCGTTCTCATTTTTCACGTTGCAAGGTGGTTGTATAAACACAATGAAGTACAACAGAAAAGCAATCAGTACGGATTAAAAATGTGTTTTCATTTGTTTTTGTTATTAAGTGATTCTCACTGGCTTTTTCGAAAACAAGGGGCCATCAACATCATATAGTATTACAAAAAACGTATGCATAATGTGCTAATTAGTCAAATGATTAACAAAAAGAGATTAAATATTTTTATCATTCAATATTTGCTTCAATTAATACTCGTATTGAGCCAAAAATTACTGCAAATGTTATACTGAAACGTATTTTAATAAAGATTGTATTCGTTAGCGAAGTCATTGCTTCTAGTTAGCAATCGCTACTATCCCAATGACCTCTTGCTGATAACGCAGCATTCCAATATACGAGTATGCACATACATACATATGTAGGTATGTGAGTAAGTAAGTGAAGTATATATGTATTTAGAAATATGTATTTATGTGCCTGCTAACTCTCGCTCTCCTGCAAGTTAAGCGAATTCCCACTGCTCCCGCAAGCGCCAATACAATCAGCTGATTGAGATATCTTGCGGATGCGCTTATGCATACACATATACATACGCATGACCCCATTGCATTACAAACACACACTTAACCGCCTTATATGTATGTATGTTTGTAAGCATAACATGTATAAAATAAAATGTGTGCATACCAGTGGCTGACTTTTTGCTGATAACAAACGCAAAAATATAAAACACAAAAATATGAATGACTGTAAGAGAGCGTGTAAATAAATGAGAAATGGAGAGTGTGAGAGAAAAACGCAAACAGATAACAAAACAAACAATGAGAGTGCATTTTCGTGCTGTGGCACACCTACGCAAGTCAAACACTCATGGGTAAATGCAAGTGGAAGCGTTAAAATGCGTAGATGTAAACAATAATAAAACAGCAACACCGGCCGCAGAGGCCCAAAAGCCATTACGATGCAAAAAAAAAAAAGTTCAACACGGTTAACATTTTTGGGCTAATTCGACAGCTGGGGGACCAAAAAATCAAATTTTTGACATCTCTTTTTATGTGTGTATTAGGAATGCTAGTCCCGGGATCCAGCCTTACTAAGGTCCCGACAAATCCCGTGATTTTTGGTAAGTAATCCCGGGATTTTCTGGGATTTGTAATTTGCACTGAAGGCAATAATAGAAACTCCTTTTCTTTACCAGTATGGGCCATATATCTTTTTTTATTTAATAATTAATATTTTTTCATAAATAATAATATTTGTGCTTATATGTATAATGAGCTAGACATATAAGCACAAATATCAATATGTACATATATCATATCGTCGCTGGAATAATGAAATAGTGTAACATGAAAAGTATAGTTTTGAGAAAAACAAATGGGAAGTTTTTATAAACCATTACAAACCATACAAATACAATTTCGTTTTTCGGAAATAAATTAGTGAGCCCAAGAGATATTTACGAAAACTAAAGATTTTTCTAATAGATTAAAGGATTGTCTATCCAATGGTGCAATTATCGAATAATAGTGTGTGTGTACATTGGTTCTTTATTCGAGCGACGATATCATATATCATGTGACAAATATAATAAAATTTCGTTTTTAGTTTTTCACTGTGCCGTCAGTAATTCAAAATTGATTTAAAAAATTTAAAGAAATGTGCTCAGAGAGGAAGTGTGGGTATCAAATTGATGGAGAAATCCTGTAGGACTTAAACAGATTCAAGTTTTTGGTTCAGAGGGACTGGTAAGTATTGAAAATGTCCTTCTAAAATTGTATCCTGAAATATCGCAATATATAAACTCGATAACATCCTCGAATTTCATTCTTCTAATTTTATCAGCTTAAAAATTACCTATTGTCCTTGTGAATACAAAAAATTTTAATTTTTTAAATTCTAAAGAAACTTTTTCTTGAATTTGGTATCCATATTTTTATTCTATATTGCACTGAATTTTTTATATTAATTTTTGGAATTAACCATATCTTGGAAATTACAAAGTCCTTTAAAATAAGTCCTGATGTCAGAGAGAAAAAATAAAAACACCGCTTTAAATAAAAAAATAGTAGCTTTCAGACCCATTTATTTATTATTTATTTTATGGTAGGAGAGCTTCTCAAACAATATAGACGCAATTTTCTCGATTTAAGTTGTTGAAAAGTAATGAATATCTAAATCCCGGGACTAATCCTGGAATCCCGGGATTGTGATAACGGCATCCCGAAAATCCCGGGAACGGAAAATGCTGAAAAATTAACATCCCTAGTGTGTATGCATACAAGTGTCTGTACGCATTTAAAAGAAAAACTTATATCGAATTCAGCAATTTTTTTGTAAAATAAACCATATCTTATATGTTGACAGATATATGTACGTTTGATCAAAAAAGCATTTCGAAAGTGTATTTTTTTTTCAATCAAGCCGAAGTTGTTCTTTCAAAAGCTCGCAGTCAGCCATGTACATACATGTACATTGTACTATCGTCGTTTAAAGTACAAAACCGCGTATCAGCAAAATGCAAAACTGCGTATGTGAGGTTACATAAACTATTTTTTAGAGTAAAACAGTCATATTTCGAAATGGTTCTCTTTTTTATAAAGCGATCGCATTTCTGGCTAGTATATTTCAGGACGAATGGATAAAGATTGAGGCAAGAGCAAATCCAATTTTTGGCAAAAAATGTCAGTTACGCGGTTTTGCAGAACGACGATACAAGGTTTTGTACTTTAAACAACGATATGAGGTGTGTGCTTTCACATATCAGCAAATCTCACGAGTTGTTACATTTTTCGACAAACACGTGTTTTTGATCGAAATTGCACAAT